TGGCAATTCCTTCAGAGCCCCCTGTGCCCTCCTCCCTGGCTTCAGAGAGAGGGTCAGGCACACACATCACTCTTACCAGAGCTGAGTCCTGGCCACCTTGTGACGCAAACACTGCAGAGCCATCAGCTGCCACTGGTCAGCGTTCAGACAGAACAAGAAGCCCGGGAAAGCATATGCCAGTGTGTCAGTGTGTGTTTGTGTGGGTGTGAGATGTGTGTACATTTCTGAGTGAGTGTGCATGTGGGTAGGTGTTCAGAGACTGAGTACAGTTGGACAATGGCCAGACCCACCATCTACAACACACAACCCAGGAAACCAGCCTGCTGTAAGTCAACGTGCAAAAAGTCAGACCCTATCCTAGTAACCACAATCCCTGTAACAATTGGCGCCATTTTCCCCCTCCCACTTGCAATTCAGGAGGAGAAATATGTGCCTCCAAATCAATAACTCAATCTCCCTTTTAGTTTTCCATGCCAACAGCATGCCACTAGGGCACACCAGAAGCCTCGCCTTTTCCCACTGTGAAGTGCTCTGCTCCTCTGCCTGCCTGGCAGCCTCAGCTTAAGCGTGAGGAAAGGTGGTGGAATAAACAGTCTTTGCTTCTTCTCATTTGGTTAGTCTCCATGGATTTCGACAGTGTGCATGTGTGTGAGAAGGAGTGCTGTGTACATGTGTGAGTGTGTCTGAGTGTGTGTGTGAGTGTGAGTGCCTGTCTGTGTCTATTTTGGGGGGGTGGGAGGCATGGCAATGTTTGGGGTAAGAGGGAATGTAGGGTAGCCTGCACTGACTACAAATCTTATCAGTTCTGGGTTTGTTCCCTTAGTGTCTGTCTCTTCTGTTTTGGAGCTGATGAGAGGGAGGGGAGATAAGGAGTCAGGAGGAAGGGAGGAGGGGTTGGATGAGAGTCTCTTCTGTAACACAGATTGTAAAAGCCAGTTTTGTTGGGGTAAAGTAATAAAGAGTCCCCAGAACCAGCATGCGCTTTCTGCTCCTGCCCTCCTGTGTGTGAGGCGCTCTCAGGCATCATTAACCTGCTGTGTGCCCGCTGTCCCCTGCAGAGGCTCCCGTGCCTCCCCGTGGAGACTGGGGCCCTGACTTCCTGCCATGAGTGTATCAGGATTTAACCTGAGGCTGGGCGGCCACTTGCCAAAATGGGAGGTTGGTAAAATTAGAACAAACAGGGGTAGTAAATAGCCCATTACCTACCACACAGCCTCCCTGTGATTTTAGCTGCAGTAAAGAGATCACCAGGTGCTGCCATTTTCTGATCAATGATGGTAATTCTCTTCCCCCTAAGATCAGTTTAATCACGGCAAGGGCCTCAGAGAGCACAGAGGTCAAAAGAAAATTATATAGTTGTGCAAGATATCTCCGCAACCTCAGTTTATTCTGCACATGATTCTAACTGATGGAGGGCTGTGCTTGCTCAGAAGTAACGCACAGTGCACTGGTAGCAGCTCTGAGGCCAGGTCGCGGGCCTCTGCAGAGGGCTGCAGAATAAGACCATCAGTCATCCAGCCACAAATACCCAACTCTGCAAAGCCTCTTGCCAGCTGTAGTTTTAAAATCAAAGAAACCAAGGCTGACACCTCGTCGTTGCCAAACACGTGCCTTGAGCCTGGGGTCCAACAATGTTTCAACGGGGGATGTGTGGTGAAATGAAGAGAGCTTTGAGTCCTGGGCCTCTTCTGTTGTGTGTGTGTGGCAGCTGGAGAAATACATGTGAGTGGAGGAATAACTACCAACCGAACTCAGCGCTGGAGGGTCTCAGAGCCAGTGGCCTATTCACTCGCGCAGCAAGCGTTTGATGAATAGTTCTTTCCTTGTTGCCTTCCAATCAATCATCCAGTTTTGATGGTGTCTATTTTCTTCCACCATTTGTTCTCTGTTGTCACCTAAAGGGCAAAGGCATATTAAATCAGGAGTTGACTTAATTGCCAGTTTAAAACAATAAAAATCCATACTGTAAACCCATTAGCAAACTGCTCATTACACGAATCACCAACCTACTTCTTGTGCATGTGAACTGAGACAAACAGTGACTAATGACATTAAAAAGCAGCAATGCACTGAGCCAAAAACTAATGGCTATGTCAGGGGCAGAGACATTCCAGTCACCTCGAGCGTTTACAACAACCAGATCATTAGAGATGAAACCTACTGGGAAGTGCTGACTCATGGTAACCTGCAGGAAAGGGTTACAGATAGGTATCTGATGCCCCTCTCTGTCTGCCCAGGCTCTCTTAGCACCATAACAACCATGATTATGAAACTACATTCTCTAGTGCTTAGGTCCTAACCCAACCTGATGGAAGGACTTCAGTTAGAACACAAAAACCTAACCCACTAATCTCCCTGAACACTGGCCTAAACAGACACCTCCTTCCTGCATTATTTTAATTGGGTAGAATTTCCATCCCATTCTAATCCAACTCAGTCCTATTTTGCTTGTTGTTAATAACCTCAGAGGAATTAATTGTGATGCAAAGAGGAAGAAAGGTAAAATGTAACCCTTCCATCCCCCCCTCCACTCCAATAGACTCTGCTTTGGAAATATACCCTTTAAAAGATCATTTCTCTCTTACCATATGGTCCAACAATCAGGCCCCTTGGTATTTTTCCAAAGGAGTTTGAAAACTTACATACACACAAATATCTGCACAGGGATGTTTATAGCAGCTTATTTTTACACAAAATTCATGCACTGGGAGGGAGGTATCCTTCAGCTCAGCCTGTACCCTCTCCAATCTGGGACCCCTTGGGTAATGTCCAGCTGTAGGATCAGGCCTAAACCAGCAGTCAGACATCTCTCTCACAATCCAGGACTGCTGACTCCCAACCACTCACCTGCCTGCCAGCCTGATTACCCCCTAATCACTCTCCTGCCAGCCTGATTAATGCCTAACTGCTTCCCTGCTGGCTCAATTGCCCCCAACTGCCCTCCCCTGCAGGCCTGGTTGCCCCTAACTGCCCTCCCCTGCAGGCCTGGTCACCCCTAACTGTCCTCCCCTCCTGGCCTGATCAGCCACAACTATCCTCCCCTTCGGGCCATCTTGTGGCAGCCATCTTTGACCACATGGGGGCGGCCATCTTGTGCAAGGGCATGAGGATCAATTTGCATATTACCTCTTTATTATATAGGATTGACAAAATTTGGAAGCAAACAAGATGTTCTTCGGTAGGTAAGTGGATAAATCACTGTGGTACATGAAGAATATTATCCAAAGCTAAAAAGAAATGAGGTATCAAGCTGTAAAAAGACAAGGAGGAACCTCAAATGCATTTTGCTAAGTGAAAGAGCCAATATGAAAAGGCTACTTACTGTATGAGTCCAACATATGACATTCTGGAAAAGGCAAAATTACAGAAACAGTAAAAAGATTTGTGGTTTTCATGATGGGGAAAATAAGACATTTGGGGGAGCTAGCAATCTGAATCTGTGCCAATAACCTAATGTACGTTCTTGATAGCCTATAATTAAGTCACTGCCCCTTTCTCCACAATCTGGTTTTGCAAGACCTATTTACCTAAGAATTCCCATTTTACCGAGACCATAAACCATGAACAATACACTGCCCCTGGAGGGGATTATCAGTGCTGACACCAGGGCAGATCTTTAGGTGTGGTCTCACGGCCTCCATCCCAATACACAGGGTTTTTTACAAAGCCCTCGAAAGGTCTGGAAATCCCACTCATATTTGGGGGGCAAAGTAACCAAAGGGGATAAAAGAAGAGCTTCCACCATATTGGTTTGCTCAGGATATGAAGAGGAAGACTCTCCCCTGAGTCACTGTGCTAGTACATGTGAAACATCTGAAAAACAATGTTTTTTTCCTGTATCTGAGATAATCCTGCATGTTTTTTGGTCCCCTGGTAAATTCTGTAACAATCAGGGGTTGGGGGAGGCTGAGGGGTTGAGCCTGGGTGGAACACTGAGGATCTTCAGGCCAGTAAATCTATTCTGTACGATACTGCAATGAAAATACATGTCATTATTACTACACATTTGTCCAAACCCATAGAATGGACAACACCAAGAGTGAGCTTTGGGTGATGATGACGTGTTCATCAGTTGTGAAAAATGTACCAGCCTATGGGGGATGGTCACAATAGGGAAGATTATGCATGTGTGAAGGCAGGGGATATAGATGGAATCTCTACATCTTCTTAATTTTTTTGTGAACCTAAAACTAAAGATTTAAAAAATAAATAAAGTCTTTATAAAGAAGAAAAAAAAAAGGAAAAAACAAAATGAATAGAAATAACTCCCCAATACCAACATAAAAAGATCATTTCTCTCCAGGGAAGCAGAGCACACCTTCCAGGCTTGAGTGTGGCATGGTCCCCTCCCTCTCCGTGAGCCCTGAGGGAGGGACATTCCTCCAGGGCCCAGGAAAGAGGCTGGCCCTGGCTGGAGAGAAGTGGCCTGGCCATGACCTCATGGTGCTGATGCTCCTGCACTGTCCACCACGGCAGGACTAGCTACACAGAGTTATTTAGCAGGAAGCTAAGCAGGCAGTTCGCACCAGCCTCATTTCAAACGCTAGTGGCTACTGTCCTGGACAGCACTGGTCTGGAACATGTCCATCATCTCAGAAAGTCCTACTGCTGACTAACGCTGCTGGAGACTCAGCCACAGAGACTCACCTGCCGGTGGAGTAAAATCACAAATCAAAAATGCATGTGGTTCAGGACTCCCCCTCTCAGATTCCGAATGACACCTGAGCAACGGACGTGGCTGGGCGGGGGCTGGAAAGGGCTTGGGAGGCGTGTTGACTGCATCAGCGATGGAAGAGCAACCTCTCTTTTGCAATACTTGCTGGTTTGACAGGCTCCTGCAGAGTTACATCACTTCCTAGAAAAACAGGCAAACACTTCTCCTTCAAGTTAGCACCTACCCAAACAAGCAGGAAACAGGAAATGTTCACGTTTCTAGGAGGCTGAAGCCAGCGCAGCAGCTTCGTGCAAGCAAGCGGGAGGGAGCGCCCAGACCAGCTGACATGAAGGCTCCTCGTGCTGCCCTCCTCTGTGCCCTGATAATCACGCTCTTCCTCACTGGCCAGGCTCAGGGTAAGCGACCTCCACTGCAGGGAGGAGGATAATGATGCCTTGTTTGGTGCCCGAGGCGAGAGAAGTCTGTGGGGCGGCTAACACCCAGAAAATGTAATCCTTTTTTGTGAAAGAAGTGCAGGAAATTCGAACTGGCGGGGTGGGAGGGTGAACTTGCCTTTCCCTGCAGCTATCAGATCGTGCTTTAGCTCGATCACTGACTGAGACCTCCCTGCAATCTTCTCGTCTTCTAAGATATGTAATTTACCAGTTTTTAATGGGCATATTAAGAAAACCATAAAGTCTTTGGCAGTTCATGGAAAAGAACGTTTCATTCAGCTGAAACGGAGAAATAGTAATACATTTGATTTTAATAGTGTGGGGTTGAGAAGGCTGCTGGTTTCAAAAACTCCTAGAAAAGTTGTGGTATGGAGATTTACTACTGGAAAGTCTACGAGAGAAAAACATAAGTTTAGAAAAATGCAAACAGGAAGTTATCTGAGGCATTCCCAGGCATCCACTCTTAACTTTTCAAGAACGGTCTCTTCATTTGTTTTTATTTGATCTTGTATACTTTGGGAGAGTAACAAAATTGAAAGTTGAAATTTTCTTTGAATTGATTGTTACTGATGCTTTGTTTTAAAAAGTGATATGATAATAATTGCAAATCAATGCTATTGAGAAGGGCAAAATGTTAAATCTAATTCTTTTGAGCTAAGAGCAGCTATTGGTTTATACAGCTTAACAGTTGTTACAACAAACATGGTCACCCTCAAATGCCTCTTACAGTTGTGTTGATTTGCCCTTGGGTAAATAAACTTGCAGCCCATGGTTTCTTCAGGGCATGCTACCTGCTTCTGGTGTAGGGCAGAAGTTCAAGCCACAGGAGAGTTCTCAAGCTGCAGCTCTTTAAATAGGATGGGGCATTAGGCATTGATGATCTAACCGATGTCACAACTTCCTGGAGATTAGCAGTCAGCATCCAACCACCCCCATCCCTCCAATTTCTCTTTCCACATGGTCCCTTCCGGCTTTTGAGGTGGGAAATGAAAGGTGAAAGGCAAACCATTCCAACGGAAAAGGTGTTTGGTTGAAATTGAGGTTAGTGTTTTAAATAAGTTTGGGGGACATTATTTTATGCACAAAGTTTTGGAGCTGGAAGAGAGCCTAAAGATTATGCAGCTCGAGCTGCACTGAGGTGACCAGGGGAAGAAACTGAGGCAGAGGAAGTTGAGACGTCTGAATCCCTGCTAGACTGCTTTTCTGTTGTGGACTCCAGGGTTCTCTCCTCTCACCAAGGGACCAACCACGCCCCCTGCCAAGACCACCGAACTAGACTCCCTTTTCTCAGGGCACCCCTCAGCACTCCAAAGGAAGTGGAGCCTAGCCATCCCTTTTCCACCTCTTGTAACCCTTATGACTACCACAAACACCCCTCTCCTCCCCCGAGAGCAATATTAACCTTGCCTGAGGATTTTCTTGAGCTTCTTAAAAATTGGGGAGATGCAGAAGGAAAATCTGAAGAGACTCAGTCCTTAAAACTTCTCTTTCTGAGACCTTACCTGGTCATGTGATTCTTCCACTTAAAGACCTCCAGTGGTTCCTCATTTATGCTCCTTGGACTCACACCAATCTTTCTCAGTGGCACCTCCTCCCACATGTCCTCCCACTCCCTAGCCACACCCTTCTAGTCACACTGAGCTGTAGGGTTATAACAGGTAGTGTTAGCCTGTCAGAAGTCAAAGACAAAAAGCTGCATTTAAATCACAGATTATAATCTGCATTGCAGTCAAGCACAGGGTTTATCTAGCTGATCCAACACATTTATTGGGCCCTTCCTGGATTCCCCAGGTCTGAAGATACAAAAATGCCACTTGCAAAATGCATGTATTACCAAAGGGTATTACTTTGAGATTAGTTGAGAAAAAGGCTATTCTAAATTAAAGACTGAATATATATTTTTAAATTTTAATTAATGTATATCCTTTTGATCTGATGGTGCCTAAGACTTGAGGATATGAGTTGGTTTATAGGTGTCACCCTTGTATTTTCTTGGTACTGTCTGGTGGGAGAATCCAATCTCCTGCACAGCCCAACATTCCCTTGTGAGCATATGAAGGGGTATGTCTCAAATGAGGCAGTTAGTAACCACAATCAGGCGACATTATCTAATACCTGCCGTTTCTTGAGGCCTGCCTGCCTCATTACCTCTGAGTCAGCATCTTTCTCTTTATGTAGATTGAGAGCCTGATGAAAAATTGGTTACCATCCCAAGTGAATAATCCACTTGGAAGTCACCAGGAGGCAAATGAGAAAACAGCTTTTCTGGGATTTGGACCAAACAGAAGAGCACAGTTAAAGGAAAGCTCTGGGCCCTGGTATCTTGGCCAGTGTCAGATGCTAAGAAAGTTCAGCTTCCAGGGGTGACATTCTGCCCCCAGAGTGAAAGGAGACATACCTACCTCATGCCTTACCCTGGGCCCTGTCAATGTCAACTAAACACTATCAGCAAGCTAAAAGCAACTTCTCAGATACCAAAGGCATGGGATTTACTAGCTGCTGTAGGCAGGATGGTTTGTAGGAAGAAAGTCAAGGGCAGACAGTAGAAACAAGGTGGCTGCCCCTATTAGGGCAGCCAGAGTCAAACACCAGACTGGAAGATAGTCCGGGCTGCTCAGAAGAGTAAGAACCATGTAATTACTGATTAATGAACCTTGAGAAGGAGATAAAGAACAGAAGAAAATACCTGTTGCATAAACAAAGTGGCACTTTCTGACAGTGTCCTCATTTCAATGAGTGTGACTGTTACCTGCGATTTTCTGGGACAGTCCCAGTGAAGTAGTAATAATGATGACAGGGAGTAGATACAGTGCTCATTACATGCCAGGCACTGTTCTAAACACTTCCCATTGACTAATTCATTTAGTTCTCATCACAGCCTTATACAATGGGTACTAGTATCCTTGTTTTACATATGAGAAAACTGAGGCACAGAGAGGTTAAATGATTGGCTTAGGGTCACACAGCTAAGCAGTCGATCTACATAAGATTCGGCTTTAGGAGACTATGCTCTAACCCAGTGGTTGGCAAACTCATTAGTCAACAGAGCCAAATACCAGCAGTACAATTGAAATTTCTTTTGAGAGCCAAATTTTTTAAACTTAAACTTCTCCTAATGGCACTCCTTCAAAATAGACTCACCCAGGCTGTGGTATTTTTTGGAAGAGCCACATTCAAGTGGCCAAAGTGCCACATGTCATTCGCAAGCCCCAGTTTGTCAACTACAGCTCCACCCTTAATCACTACTATATTGGATCTGGGTTTTCAGGCTATGTGTCTAGTTTCAGGTTTGGAAAAATATGTCTCTGGTGCCTTCCCAATTGTAGGTAGACACACAAACTCTTGGCTGGGCTCTAAGGTTACTTACCACATGTTATTAAAGAAGCTGTATGTGGTGTGGCCAGAGACTGACTGACAGGGAAAGGAGTGGTGAGAGTTGGGTTAAACTTTGGCCTGGAAAGGGGGAAGGGAGGGGCTGAAAGGTACAGAGTGAACAAAACAGAATCTGGGGATTAGCATAGTTAACACCAGAAGCAGGTAGACCAATGCTGAAGCCACTGGATAAGAGGTTTCAGAGTGTGGGAACCAGGGAGGAAAAGCCCAGCCTTGCTATGGGAGAGAACTGACCCCAAGGACCACACACACACACACACACACACACACACACACACACACACACAGAGAGGGATTTTCTGAGGCTTAAAGTCCCTCTGCGTCTAAAAGGATGACCCAGGAAATCAGAAGAGGACAAGATCTTGGCTGGGATGAGCTCAATTCTATAAAGAAACAATGCAGCCTGCAATTTGCTTACTCGTGTATAGTTTGTATAGCTTGCACCACCCTCAAGTGTTGGCAAAGATGTGGAGAAACAGGAACTCTGAACTGCTGGTGGGAGGGTAGATGAGTGCCCTCACATAGTCTATCTTGCTGCTTAACACATCCATTGGGCTTTTAATTTCAGCTATCGAATTTTTTATTTCTAGAAAATCCTTCATCTACAATCTATTGTATATATTGTGTCTTGGTTTTATTATCTTCTTATGTTATTTATTTCTTCTTTTATGCATTTATTTTAAACATATCATTACTCGATAACTTTTATCTGAAGATTATTATTCTTGTTGCTTGTTGTATCTGTCAACTCCTATTAGTGATGGAAATCTTGGGGCCACTGAGGGCAGAACAGAGTGTGACTCACCCTATGTAGCAGAACCCCGAATTTTCTGACCCTATCACCAAGCTACTGCAAATATTTAACCAAGACAACTCCTGCCCTGTTACCACAAAACAGAATTTGAAAGAAATTCAATCAGGGATGTGCTGGGGTTGAGGAGGGCCAGTGCTTGGATCTCAGACTTAAACCTCAGCTTGGGATGGGGAGGGGCAGGCCTCTGGGGTCAGCCTTCAGGAGTCACAGGAGGAGGTGCTAAAATCTTATTAAAAGTGCAAACCAGAGTTAGCAGTGGAGCCAAGTCACTAACCAGAAGCAGGTAAGTAGACAAACACAAATTAAAAACAGAGGAGGGGCCAGGTACACAGAGTCAGGATGATGGATGATGGTCGATCAGCCTGGGGTGGTACACCTGACTTTGACTTTGAGCTTTACTAAAATCAGTACCGTTGTTTAGTTTTTCTCCCTCTTTCCCTTCCTCTCTCTTTTTCTCCCTCCATCCTGCCCCTCTGTCTCTTGTTTTTTAAATCTTCAAGCCTCCATCTCTGGACAGTCCTGTGACAACCTTCCTCACAGCTCTTACTATCTCAACCAACTCCATAGTAACCTCAAAATAATAATAATAAAAAAATACTAACTGACCTTTGAGCTAAGAAGGATTTAAAAAAAAAAATAGTTCTCTCTTGAGAACTTACATAATAGCCCGTATTTTGCCTCATGGCCTCAAGATCTAAAGTACTTATTTGGTGATCCTTTAAGAAAAAGTTTGCCAACCATTCTAGTCAATGTG